TGTGTGTGTGTGTGTGTGTGTGTGTGTGTGTGTGTGTGTGTGTGTGTATTGCAGTAGGGCTGTGCCAGGCCCTGGCTGGAGGAGGGTCCACAGGGTCTCTTAGGCTGGGCAGAATGTGTGATCCTGATCATGTGAGTTCCAAACTGCAGAGCTGGGGTTGGTTGCCCTTGTCTCCCAGAGAGCCCAGTAATTCGGGAAGCCTGGTGAGGTGAAGTGTTATGTTAAGGGCCTGGCTTTCCCTTTGACTCATGCTTTCTCACTCCCTTTTCATTCTGATCCATTTCAGGGCTAAACTTCTAAACCGTATTCTCCAGTTAGCATGTTCTCATGATTTGAGGCCCCTACAGAAGCCAATCTGAGCTGGCAAGGGAGGGGGTATGACAGTACTAAGGCAGTTGTGGAGGAAGCTCCTTCAAATCCACCCAGGAAGGCAACAGGCTGCAGCTGTGGGTGAGGCTGGGGCAAGGGCCCCAGGCAGCCTGGCAGTACAAACAGGAAGGACAGCAGGTTCTGGCAGCAGAAGCCTGCGGCCTCCAGCTGACAGGATGGCCTCCTTCCTGCAGGTCTCCACTGCCTTCTGATTTCCTGTCACAAGGAGAAAAGGCAGGGTGGGATGAAGTGAGGTCTGAAGCCAGGGTGTAGTTCTCCTGGGGTCACCGTACTTGGGGAGAAATGGAGAAAGATGCCAGAGGTGGAATCAAAAGGGCAAATACCACTATGGTCACCTCACTAAGGCCAGAGTGACTAGAACAGCAAGGGCACAGCTGCCTACTCCATGGCCATCTTTAGTTGTATCTTAAGTCAGCTAGATAGTTTCTAATGGCACCCACACCCTCCCTTCCCCTTTAGGCATTTTGCAAGCTCTCCACCACAATCTGGAGGATATACCCAGGCTGTGGGGGTGAGAGGGGGAGGGCACCACTGAGGTGCTAATCAGTCACCTTCTCCTGCGCTCACCTCTGCCCCCACCATGGGTCTGCGGTCAGTTACTTGGTTCCTGTCTCAACAGAGCCATGTCATGTGAGACCATGGCTAGGGGGGCCAGGAGTCCTAGAAGCCAGGGGTGAAATAGGGCAGGGCTGAGTGAAGTATAAGAGGCAGTTCCTAAAGGGGATGCTGGGGCAGCATATTTGGCCAACAGTTTCTTTTCTTCCAGAACTCTTGGTCTGGATCTCTGGGACATGGCAAGCCAGGCTTGTCTTTCCCCATATGGGGCCCCACAGTGTGGCAGCAGAGTGGGAGATCTGGAAGCACCTTGGCTAAAAGCCTTGTATAGGCTGAAGCACTGGGTGCCCCTGCCAGGCCACCCTACCCTGGTCTGCATCTCCTGATAGGGGGGTTGGGTGAAGGGCAGAGGAACCTTATCCCCAAGCTGTAGGTTAGCCCACCAGGGCCAGCTGGAAGGAAACCAAGCAAGCCTGGACCTGAGGCTTGGACTAGTCTTCCTGATTCTGGAGTGGGTGCCAACACCCCTGCCGACCAGCTTGCCTGCCTATGTCCAGGACACACAGACTCCTTCCCTTTCCAGACTGGAAAGCCCCCTGTTGGGATAGCAAGAAGGAAGTGACCTACAGCTCTTCCAGTCCACCCAGGACCTTGGGCAGAGCCTACAGCTCAAGGTTTGTATGCCCTGAGGTCTCTCGTCAGAGAAAGATGTGCATCCCTAGCCTCCCCCACTCCCGCCAGCCAGCTCTGGGTCTGCCCTTGAGGGAATGTGCTGGTCAGACTGTGATGGGAACCTTTTTTCTCCAAGTATTACGATTCTGTGGACAAGGCAGGGGCTGGGTGGGATGGCCTCTGAGAGTAGCAGTTTGTGATGCCTGAGGGTCTTCGAGAACAGGGCCAGCTCAGTGGGGGATTGGAGGAAGTGGGTGTAGTGAGGGAGGGAGGGGACTCTGTGGTATCCTGGCTGCCCTGCGCTGTGGATGGGGTACTTATTGTGCTCTGTGCTTTTGTTCAAAGTGCTCACATAGGGGCTTTCCTTTTCCTGAGTGCAAACAGGCCTTCTCCTCCATTTGCCTAACTGGTTATTTCTAGGGACCAGCAGGGTTGGGAAGGGGCCCCTGTCTGTTTCAATTCCCTCTTTCAGTAGAGGACAGGGTAGTTGGGGTGGGGTTTGATAGTGGTTGATGCCAAAGACTGAAGGGGTAGGGCGGGGCAGAAGCGGGAAGGTCCCTGGCTTCCCTCACCTTGGGTAGATGAAAAGAAAGCATCAGAGGCTGAGCTGAGGTGCAGCTGTGATTTCAGGGTGCATCTATTGGGGAGGCAGCTGTGATTTGAAAACCTTGTTTCCTTGGGTGACTGATTCCAGAGGCCGTGGATGAGTGCTGGTGAGTGCCTGGCCCTTGAGGGGGTCCCAGCTGGGGATGATAGGGATTTTATGGGTGTCTCTAAGCCTAAGGTGACATGGCTTCTCCTTTTTTTTTTTTTTTTTTTATTCTGCTTCAGGGTGCAACCCCACCCGAAGGCTGAGAGCCTGGGGGGTCCTGGCTGGAGGTGCAGCACTCATATCCCTCTGGCTCCTTTGGTTACTGGGATCAGGTCCTGGAGGTGCCCCAGTGCCTCAGCCCACAGTTACCATCCTTATCTGGCACTGGCCTTTCACCAGCCGGCCTCCAGAACTGCCTGGTGACACCTGCACTCACTATGGCATGGCCAGCTGTCGCCTGAGTGCTAACCGGAGCCTACTAGCCAGTGCAGATGCTGTGGTCTTCCACCACCGTGAACTGGAGACCCGGCAATCTCATCTGCCCCTGGATCAGAGGCCACAGGGACAGCCTTGGGTCTGGGCCTCCATGGAATCACCCAGTAATACCCATGGTCTCCATCGCTTCCGAGGCATCTTCAACTGGGTGCTGAGCTATCGGCGTGATTCAGATATCTTTGTACCCTATGGTCGCTTGGAGCCCCTCTCTGGGCCTACACCCCCACTACCGGCCAAAAGCAGGATGGCTGCCTGGGTGGTCAGCAATTTCCAGGAACGGCAGCAGCGCGCAAGGCTGTACCGGCGCCTGGCCCCTTATCTGCAGGTGGATGTGTTTGGGCGTGCCAGTGGACGGCCCCTGTGCCCTAATTGTCTACTGCCCACTGTGGCCCAGTATCGCTTCTACCTGTCCTTTGAGAATTCACAGCACCGAGACTACATTACTGAGAAGTTCTGGCGTAATGCTCTAGCAGCTGGTGCTGTGCCTGTGGTTCTGGGACCTCCTCGAGCCACCTACGAGGCTTTTGTGCCACCAGATGCCTTTGTGCATGTAGATGACTTCAGCTCAGCCCGTGAGCTGGCTGTCTTCCTTGTCAGCATGAATGAGAGTCGCTATCATCGCTTCTTTGCTTGGCGAGACCGGCTCCGTGTACGGCTCCTAGGTGACTGGAGGGAACGCTTCTGTGCCATCTGTGCCCGCTACCCTTATTTGCCCCGCAGCCAGGTCTATGAAGACCTTGAAAGCTGGTTCCAGGCTTGACCTCCTTCTGCTGGGAGAGGATGTGTGTGTGGAAGACTGATGTTGAAACCAAAGAGCTGGACATCCAGCCTCTTGGGTCACCAAGGAACTAACCTGAGCCTTGGGTCAGTGAACAGAAAGGATATGAGAGGAGCAAACTGGGCTGGAGAAGCCATCTGGATAAGGAAGCTGGTGGGCCCTAAGTAGGGATCCCAGAAAAGAGGCAACAGCATGGAGGGGGTTAATTAGGAGCATATCGCACAAGCTAATCAAACAGGAAAGGCAGCTGAGCACCCCTGACTTACCTTGAACATATCCATGGTTCAAGGCTAGATGAAATGGGGAGGCAGTATCTCTGGGGCTGGGAACATCCAAGGCTGTGATTAGTGGGGCCCTGAACCTCCACAATCACGGTGCTAGAGGGATGTAGGACCATATTCTATATCTGGGTGCAGACCATGAGCTGAGCCTGGGGTGTGTGAGAAAGGGCAGTGTGGCTGATTCTGGGCTTTGGGCACCACAGTCCCCTCAGGGAAAGAGGCACCACTAATAAAGACACTAACACAAATCTCCTGGGTCAAGTCTGCCAGGCAGCCACGAACACCAGCCAGCCTCCACTGCTTCTTCCCTCCATCAGCCATTGGGGTTCTTGTTTCTGCCCAAGAGACTTGCTTAAGTTGCACCTTACCAGGATCCCTTTACTCCCCTCTCCAAAGCCCATGGCACAGACAGGTGTAGGACCTGTAGTCAGACATATCTGGGGCTGGCGGTACCACATGTCGTAGATCTCAGGTTGGAGGGGGTCCTATGTGACATGGCCCCATTTATGATGGCAGGTAGAGAACATTCGTGAGGGGATTCAATGAAGATCTTGCTGCAGAAGAAGCATCTATGTTGGGGATGAGGAGAGGAGATGAGGGGCTGTGTCTGATAGGTTGAGCTTCTGGGTTAGGTTGAGCTCCTGGGTTGGGTCTTGGGTTTGTCCGTGCCTTGGGGGTGGGGTGGCAGGGCAGGCAGGAAGCTCCCCTCCCCCTGTGGTTTGTGGGAAAGGCCTGCCCATGGCTTCCTGCCCTGAGCCAGCCCCATGTGCTCACTGGGGAGAAGGAAGTGTCCTGAGGCTAGAGGTGGGTGGGGCTTTGTGTCCTCTCCCATGAACCCAGGAGTAACCTCTCCTCAGAGAAAGAGCTGGAAAGTGGGGGGAAGCTTTAGCCCTCAAGGTTTTCATCCACTTTAAGAGCAACCTGCATGTCGCCGGCACACAGCCTCCACCCTCCTTTCACAGGTGGGAAAAAGCCAAGCTGGTAAGCAGCCGGCAAACACCACCCACAGGATTTTTCCATTGCTGGCGCTAGTGGTCCTCTGCTGCCCCCTGCCGGCATATGGAGAAATTAGTCCTGCAACAGTATCGTTAGGCCCACCAAAATAAACATCAGGCTTCATGTGCAGAAAGCAGCCAGGCTTACATGGGTATGTATGGTGTGGTGTGGGGTAAACCACTTATGCTGGGGACAGCCTGTCTTCCGGCTGTACTCCCTCACTGCTCACAGCTGCAGTATGGGTAGGGTGGTTGAGGCATGATCTGGCAGCCACATTGGATGACTGGAATAAATCTCACACTTATGATGCCTCAGCACCATTTTTTAATATAAGCCTAACCTTACCAGGCCAGAATTGGGGCTCTCTCACCTTTAGCAGTTTCCAGTTATGCACTCTCAACCCTTCATATGGCATGTCTACTATTTGTGCCTGGCTGACGTTTCTGCTGCCCAGACTGCTGAGCTGCTCATCTGCGTGGAAAGCACAGATAGGCTGCAGTTACCAACTCTCAGAGGCCTGTGCAACTTCAGCTTTCTTGTTCTAAACTCAGTTAAAACTCCCGAGAAGCCTGTTTGGATGACATCCTGGGCCCCAAAACAGCTTAGCCCACAGCTGTCTCCATCTGCATGCTGTGGATGTGTATCACTTCCAGGCTCTGTAAAGCAAAATTCACTTCCACTGTGTCTCTCCTAACCACTTAAAGTGCTCAACTTTGTGTATGTGTGTTTTAGACAGTCTCATGTAGCCTAGGCTGGCTATAATCAAGAATAACTCCTGAAGTCTTGATCCTCTGGCCTCTGCCTTTCTGGCGCTGGGATTACATGTGCATGGTTGCTCTCTATTATTTTATTAAGATAGTATCTCTCTATGTATCTCTGGCTGGCCTGGAACTCTCTGTGTAAACCCGGCTGAACTTGTACTCCAGATACCTGCCTGTTTCTGCCTCCTAAGTGCTGAGGTTAAAGCTGAGCTGCCATGCTCTGCTGTTGCCCTCCATTTTGATAATCCAAACAAATGTCATTTCATCAGCAAGTGGCTCATCTATAAGGGACACAGAAAGTTCTTGTGAGGGTGGTCTAAACACAGCAGTCCCTCTTACCAGGCTTCTCTTTAAAATATCTGGCACCCTATGCTCTTGGGCTACATGCTGCATCTCGAGCCTTGTTGTAACCCTAACCCTGACATTGTTCATCCTACATGGATGAGATTCTCATAATGGGGCGATGTCCTTCCTCTAAATGACTGACTGACCCTGCTTTTTGTCTCTACATTCGAGGAGTGTCAAGCTAGTGGTGACCTGATGGGGACCAAGTCTCCTTTAGAGTTCCAAAAGAGACAGTAGAACACCTTGGGGATCCCTCTACATAAATCTCCCAATTGGGGGCTAGTTCTCCCCAGGCCTCTGAAAGGTGTGAGCCCAGACCTTGGGAACACTGCATTACTCCTGGGTAGGCCCAGTGAGTCAAGAGGCCTAGCCCTGTGCGCAGGTGCAGGCGGGCCTGGGCGCCCCCTGGCGGGCACCGGGGCACCAAGACGCCTTTAAGTGAGGGCGGCAGTCGCGGGCGCAAGAGTGAGTCTCAGCAGCCGCGGCCGCCGGGGCGGAGCCTGAGAGGAGCAGGTCCTGGACGCACGAGCGCCCCGCCCCCGCGCGGCCGATGCCGAGCTGCGCGGCGGGCAGTGGGGCGCGGGTGGGGCGCGTAGAGGAGCGGGCCGCGGCGCTGAGGCGGCAGAGCGCGGCCCGGCCATGGGCTTCTTGCACCAGCTGCAGCTGCTGCTCTGGAAGAACGTGACGCTGAAGCGCCGGAGCCCGGTGAGCGACCCTCGCCCGCCCTCCGGGGCTCGCAGGCCGTGCGCCCAATTTGCGGATGCGCTCGCTCTTCACTTGCGCGTGCAGTGCCCAGGCACGCGCAGACCCTGGGAGGGCTCCACCGGAGACCCTGTACGGAGCCCGCTGCCTCCGCAGGGTTCCGGGGCTCCGGCAGAGGGTTCGGCGGTGCCTTGGTCCTCTGACACTCGGAGCGCTCGGCTGAGTCACCGGCCGGCGCCCTCCTCAGCGCTCCCTGGCAGGCTGGGTTTGGGGCAGGTGGTCCCTGGATTTCAGCTCCAACGAGGCCCAGGTTCCCGGGACAGAGCGCTAGCTGGGACACACCATTCAGCTTAGGGACTCTGCACCGCTTCTGGAGCTCCCATAGGGACCTGTCTCTTCATTTCGTTTACCGATACTCTTTCTGCCCTTGGGCAGGCACCTTAGGCTGAAACTGGTACCAAACAGCCCTCGCCGCTGCTGTTGCTGCTGCCGCCGCCCTGCCGCTGCCGCTGCTGCTGCTGCTGCTGCTGCTGCTGCTACTGCTACTGCTCCTCCTCCTCCTCTTCCTCCCCCTCCAAAACCTCCACCTCCTCTATCGTCTTCTCCTCCTTCCATCATCTCTTTTCCTAACCCAGCCTGCCATAACCACAACCCTCCTGCTTTCTCATCCCTGTGAATGTCCTCTTTGTACCGGCTAGACCCAGTCAAATTCCAGCACCTCTTTGTCCTTTAGGGCCAGTTTCTCCTGAGGCTGCCTGCCCCTCTAATTTCTTCTAACTCGGACCTTGTGGGGGCTGGGTTCTGGCGAGCTTCTCAGTACCTGTCTAGGACAGCCAGCACATAAGAGTATTGGGGTAGGAATCCTGGGTGAGAAGCTGGATAGGGGGCATAGATGGCGTTGGCCTTGGTTTTTATCCCAGTCCTTGGGAGGGCAAGGGCACCCAGTCCTGGGCCAGCAAGAGTATCTGTGGGCTCTTGGGATTTTCCAGAATGGCACCTAAAGGAAGGACCCTATCCAGCTCATACCCAGAGACTCCTTGGGCAGCGACACTCCTCCTGTGTTCTTCTTTGAGAACTTCAGGTGCATAATAAGAAACTCTGGTCTGTTGGCAGGGTGGGTAGCAATCATCACCATGGCCTGGCAAGATTCCTGTGGGCACCTGGCCCTGGCTGATAGCCAGGATTGGGTACATTCTCTGTCCTGGTTGTTTGGAACTGGCTGGTGTGGGATCTGAAGGAGCAGACGTGTGACTCCAGCATTTGAGTCACTGGAGAAAGGGACACAGAGTGAGGATGTAGGCATGCCTCAGTTGCTTGTCAGGAAGACCCATTCAGGGCTTGGGAGCAGAGGCTAAAACATAGTTCCTGCATCAGATAGCATCACACCAGGCTCTGAGAAGAGCACAGTGATTTCACAGTCAGGTGGAGGTGCAATGGCCTTTTTCCTAAGACTGATCCCTGCCTGCTAGGCGGGGTTCCCATTCTTTAGCATTCCCAGAGACCAGTTAGACCACAGTGAAGACCCTTAGCCTATGGCCACAGTGAGGTGCCAGCAGGCAGACAGTCTTTGCTGGGCTCGGGGGTGCACCTATGCAAAGCTTATGATTTGGAAGGAGACCTCAGGACTTTTGCCCTTCCTGCTTCCTTCTCCCAAGTACTAAGCCTCAATTGTCCTGTTGTTGAGTTGCACGTGGGGCACGGGTCTACTCTGGCATCCTTAGGAGGACCACCAGTATTGAGTAGCTGTTTTGGAAGACCCCAACATCACACTTGGATATCACCTGTGTCCCCCCAACCCTCCACCACAGCAAGCACGAGGCTGCTCACGCCCAGGGTGAACATGGAGACAGTGGACCAGGGTGGAAGCACTGGACTTGTCTTAAGGGACAGAGTCCCTAGGTCACTTGCTGTCACCCAGGTTCGACACCTAGGTATTGCTGGACCTGTGCTGTGAGCCTGTAACCTGATGCCCCTCTGTTGCCCTCCACCTGCCAGCCAGGACTCATTCTTCCAGCAGCTCATGCACAGCCATTGCTATAGTGATAGGAGAGACAGCCTAGCCTGTGCTACAGGTACTCAGGCAGATGTGCCCAGGGCAGGGCGGAGGTGCCCATGGTAGGGCAGGCATTGGTAGGACTGTCTCTTGAGCTATGGCCCCTGTCACCAGCCACTCTGTATGTGTGAAATACATTTGTCTTGCATCCTTGGGTGCACATAATCCTCAGCTGGCCCTGGACTCCATCTTGGCTAAAAAGGAGACTGGCACAGGCTGAGGCGGGTGTGGAGTATGGACACACAGCAGGGTATTCTGGATCACAGAGAGCTATTGTCAGAGCACAGTGGGCACAGCCAGGGACAGACTGGGCACGGCCCTACACCACTCCTGGGAGGGGCTTCAGAGTCTGCTTCCAATGGTGATGAGGGTTCAAGAGGCCTGATAGTACAGAGCCGGGGAAGAGGACTGCTCTAGTGGTGGTTTCCTATGATCTCAGAGGCAGGAGCTTCATGATATGTTTCCTGGCCTTCCTCCCAAGCTAAGGTGGGGGCAGGAATTGGTAAAACCCTGTTTTCTAGGTGGCACTGGAGTTGAGTCTGGCCCCCAGGGTTTTGGTAGTTCTGGCCTACCCTGACAACCTGGCCCTGAGAGGTTAGGGACCATGTTGGCTTGAGGCCCAGGGCCCTGGTCATAGGCTAGGTCTTGCTCACACTAGGCCTCATCTCTGTGAGTCCAGTACAAAGTTACAAGGGTGCTTTAGCAGAGGAGAGGAGAGGAGAGGTGCATGTAAGGGCTCAAGGCAGTCAGAGACCACATGTGGCCAAGGTATGCTCCAAAATCCCACTCAGGTGGCCCAACAGGTTGGCAGGGAGAAGATGAATTGGGTAAACAAGTAAATGGTTAGAGTTGGTCTTAATCTGGTTGATTTGTTCCTGCTGGCTTTTGACCTCTTCAGAGGATAGGTGGTCCATGGTTTGGCAGGCACAGTCTAGGGTGGAGGATAGGGAACCCAGTTGGGTGGTATCACACAGCATTCAACATCTTGGTGCACTGGGAGGGACTAGGATCTTGGCTGGACCTGAGAAACCTGTGCTGATCCTTCATGGCCACTGGGTGCACATGGCTTGGCTGGTCCTTCAAGGTCAGGAGAGCCTAGGCCAGGACATGTTCATCATGTCCAGCCCTGGGCAGGTAGTGGACAGACTGCATATAGCCTTATGTGGACCACCCTTTCCAGTGGGTCCTGGCTTTTGAGATCTTCATCCCGCTTGTCCTCTTCTTCATCCTGTTGGGCCTGCGGCAGAAGAAGCCTACCATCTCTGTGAAGGAAGGTGAGGTGCAGGCATTGCCTGGGCATGTGGGTGGGCAGGGAGGGATAAGAGTCTTTTCTGTGCACGTGTCAGCCTGAGTGTGTCCCCAATCCCAAGACTTCCTGAGGCCATGGCCCAAGTGCCCTATCCCCATGTTGTCCTGACCACATGTCTTGGCTAGTCTGTGGAGGGCATGGCCGGCCATTGTGGCCATGAATGACAGTGGTGCCTGTTTCTGGAGGGTCCATGCATTCATTAGTCTCCTCTGTTCTGTTTTGACCTGCCCCCACCCTGCATGGTCTCTTGTCTTCCTCGGCCCGGCCTGCATGCAGTCTGTAAGTGAGCAGCCATCTCCTTTTTGCTGGCTCAGGTGGCAGCCATGGATGGCCTGGCAGGTCCTCCTGGTATAGCTTAAGCACCCCTACTGCTTGCATTAACAGCCTCCTAGCAGCTGGGTCCAATAGAAGCCCCTGCCTGTGGTCAGGACAGGCTGGCTTATGACTTTGGGTGGTGGACTATGATACGGGTGGTGGAGGGTAGTGAAGGGCCAGGCCACCTGGGCCATAGCTGGCACCTTGGTCAAGCCACTGGAGTATCTTCTTGGCAGGGTATCTGTGAGGTCATCTGGCTGTTCTTTCTAAGGGTGAGGTTTCTGGGTTGAGCCTGGGCTAGCCTGAGATGAGGCTGCAATGACCTGATGACCTGAAACTTTCCCTTCAAACTCCTTTGGGCTGTTGCACTCACTCTGCTAACCAGTTGGTCTGAGAGGTCAGAGGTCACTACTAAGGGGTACCTCAGGTGCTAACCTTGTCTCTGTGGGGAGGTGGATTGATGGGGCATTTGGGCACTGCATAGGCTAAGGAGGGATGTGCTGGGAGTTACAGGGATG